AATCCAAACGATAGTCAGTTCATATCAATATAAATTATCCCACAACACTATTCGCAAGCAACTGTGAGTTAAATGTGAATCGGATAATGTTTATTGCAAAATTCATCTTTCAAAGCATCCTTGTGCAAAATACTTCAGGATCGGAGAACCATTGAATGTGGAAATTTGGGAATTTACAATGCGTGGGATTATTTAAAAATAGTGTTACTAGTTTTAGAGTTTCTGTTTGTACCAGCGGCAGTTCCCCGGTGTTAACTTCACCAAGTTATCATCCCGGTAGATGAGTTCGAATCCCACCATCATCACCTGACTTTCATCATGTGTGTTTTACGACAATCCTTTAATTGGCCGTTTCCACCTTTCTGAAAGACGTATCATTGCACATTTAATAAACAATGAAAAAGATGAAAGATGAAGTGCTTATCACATTGTCCAGTGCTGTTAGAGGCGTTTTTCTGAAAACACACATGCTAACTTTTTTCCAATTTGAGGACTTTGATAAACAAATATCCACAGAAATTCAACTTTTTGTACCCAATTACCTTCCTTTCCGGGTCTGAATTGCAAAACATTGTTCCGTCCATATTGCATTTGTCTGTATGATTGCAGCTATTCGGATCCTGGTAGGAATAGACCTGCAAAATGGGGTGGGAACAGGTTTTGAACAATTGAAATGTTGAATAAAAGGAACGTTTGCCGGACTGGTCAAGTCTTAGGATCACGGGATTGCGGACCTAAAAAATGATTGCAGTTTGTTTCATGACTGTTACATTTTTGAAAAATGATTTCATCAGAATTAGTGCTCAGATATTTCGTATGCAAACATGAAGGACCGATTTCAAATCTGGCCAAAATTTAAGAACACACTTACAAGTTTATATATAAATACATATATATATTATATTTCACACTTGTCTGAGGACAGACTGTGTGCCAAAGAAACCATGGTACAATAATCTTTATAAAAAAGAAAATGTTCCATGCTTGGCTTGGGAGATGAGTACTGTCAGGTTGCCTAAGCCAAGACAGATGTATTTTCTTGAGGAATCCACAACAGGAGCCTTCGGCTAGCCAAAACCTGACTAGCAAGGCAGTGGGGCGGTGTGTGAAAACCGCAATCCATTGGGGTCCGGTGTCCAGTTCATCGGATCATACGCCCCTCGGATGGGGTCAGACGTCCAAGGTGCCCAATACACCTCAATGTCCAATTTAGCCGGTGAACACTGCCACAACTGAAAAGGTGTGGGTGTGGTTCGTACGCCTCCTCATGGTTGGTTTGGAATCAGGGTTTTTGGGCGTGGGTGTGGTTCACTCGTCTCCTCATGGTTGGTTTGGAATCAGGGTTTTTGGCCAACTCCCATAGGTGAACTGTCAGTGTTCCACCAACCCGGCTATAGCTCCCGATATCGGCTTTTCGTCCTCTCACGTTGGCGGGAAAAAACCTCCTCCGTGAGAAGGCAGTGAGTAGGATCTCCTCAGCAGAGGCTATTTGAGACGCTTGGTCGTGAGGTGCAAGGGCAGGGTAACCAGCCGCAACCCTAGACAGTGAATTAAAGTGCGTGGTCTAAAAGTGACCATGTGCGGACACCCTTTCAGTCCCATTATCTCAAACATTCAGTGGCTGTCTGATAGGTGGAAAAATCCCTGACATTTGGAAACTGGCCCAGAAAAAAGAAACTGGGAAGTATCATCCCATCGCCTGCACGTCAGTCATGCTCAAATTATTTGAGAGGTGCTTGTTACCGTGGGTTGTCACTCAGTCTACCGAAGACGATATCTATCAATTTGAATATCGTTCTTCGCGCTCAACACTTGACGCCATTGCATACCTTGTTCATTCAATAATTTCAACTCTAAATAAATGGTTTAAGACCGTCGGAGTGGTATTCTGAGACTATAAAAACGTTTTCGGCAGTCTTGATCGATCGCTTTTGCTCAACCTGATCACCAAGAGTGGTGTTAGTCCAAACGTTGGCAGATTGATCGGCGATTATTTCACGAATAGAAGACAGTTCACGTGCTTTAACGGCAAAAATCTTCTATTCAATCGGTTATTTTTGCTGTTCTACAAGGTGCAAATTTTCCCCCATTTTTCTTTTCGAATAATTTCCCATTCCTTTTCCATTCACTGGCTAAAACTACCCAGATACCTTTGTGTTTAGGTTGCAAGGCATCCACCTCTGAAAAGGCTTCAGAACTTCAAAGCAAGTTAAACGACAATATCAGATCCAAATTTGGAACCGATATTATTGAAGTAAGTTAAACGACAAGTTAAACGATGTTGTTACTTGATCCCTGTCCCGTTCCCTCTCATTGAATGCCTCTAAATGTCAGGATATTGTATTTTACCTGTTTGCCGACGTACCATATTCAACCTGTTCAGATGGGTTTACCACCCTTTCTGCTAATCAACAACCCGTACCGAAATCAACAATGGTAAAATACCTTGGCGTCACATTATCACACAATTTATCATGATCAATGCATGGTCAAAACACAGTCTGTAAAGTTAGAAAGTTTTCATATTTCTCACTCCGATTGAGAATACTTTCTGTTCGCTACAAGCTGATTGTCAGGACTGTGATGGCATGCGTGCTACTCCACTGGTTGTATTGCTCCCCAGTGATGTCTCTCGGTATGTTGAATAAAGACTTTCAATTACTGACGAGATCTCTGAAACACATCTCTAAATGCAATGGCATTGTCAGGGATAAACTTGTAGACCCTATCTATGACATCTAAAAGCATGTGAAAATTTGATTGTTAAAATAATCGCAGACATTTATCACAAATCACAAAACGAATTTTCCAAAACTATGCACTTACATCGTTGACGCGCTCAAGGTTCAAACTTTTAGTTGCACATACCTATTCATACCTATTCATTCTAATTTGCCATATTTATCACGTCAACTTATTGACAAGGAGAAAGTTTCCACAGAATTATGCCATTGCTTACTTAATTGACAAAGACAGTAGCTACTACTTTCAGATTCATTATATATGGTTTTGTAAATTTGAATCCATAAATATTGTGCAAAATGCTAGAACTTCACCCTTCCGAGTACACAAAGCTACTATTGATTTGACTTGATTTGACTTGACTTAGACTGGTTTCGGTTTGACTTTGGTGTCCGAAAATGGCGAACGGTATCGATAATTTAAGTTGGTTGTGACTGTATCTGATCCCCGGGAAAATCGCTATTGTCGCCAACCCAGCATCGCGATAATGGTTTGATAGCAATAGTCCGCTCACAAAGTTTCTATTCAACTTCGTCCGTGGGTGCTAAACTGTTTACCGCGCCAACTAGCTGCCAAAAATTGTAGGTGGTAAACGGAGTTATATTTATACGTAATCTGCAAATTGCCGGGAAAG